GTGCGTGTCTTGGTGCATGTTAGGAAAATACCACGACGGGACTTGACGTTAGCTGAGAAGATTCGTTTCCTAGATCAGATCAAGGAACAGGGACCAACCACTAGTCAGCGTCGATTGGTGGAAATTACCTGCTTGGCAAAATCTACAATATCGCGCCTGATAAAACAAGAGAAAGATCTGCGAGAAGAATGTGCACAATGTGAAGGACGATGAGGTACTTCCCAAAAACGGAAGCGTGAAGGCAAGGATCCAGACGTCGATGAGGCCATTAATGATTGGTTTGCCTTTGTTACTGGACGAGCCGTGCGAGTAAGTGGCCCAATGTTAAAGTACAAAGCAGAAGAACTCGCTAAAATGCTGGACCACGAAGATTTTATAGCTACGGACGGCTGGTTGTCTCGATGGAAATATAAACATGATGTAAAATTTAAGAAAGCACATGGTGAAAAAGAAAGCGCCAATAGCGCTCGAGCTGAAGAATAGAAATAAACAAAACTACCAGATCTTCTTGAAAAATGTCCAGCAGATGACATCTATAATGCTGATGAAACCGGATTGTACTATTGGGCTACACCGGACGGCTCCTTAAGTTACAAACATGTTACTCTCTCTGGCTGCAAAAAAGCAATGGATCGCGTAACTGTCTTGTGCTGCTCAAACATGTCCGGAACAGACAAGAAGTTGCTGTTTATAGGGAAATGTGCCAAGCCTCGCTGCTTTAAGGGACTCAGAATGGACAGTTTACCAGTTGTGTATCGTGCGAACAGAAATACATGGGTGGGCTCTACACTTTTTAAAGAATGGGTGAAGGATTAAGACACAGAGCTACAACGCCAGTCGAGAAAAGTGTTATTACTTCTCGACAATTGTGCAGCACATTCAAATTTGGATTTCTTGAAGAATATCCAGATGGAATTTCTGCCTCCCAAGACCACATCTTTGATACAGGCAATGGACATGAGCATCATAAAAAATTTGAAGACCTTTTATCGTTCAAGGTTGGTGAATTACATCCTTGAATCAATTGAGGAAGGCTTGCTGACCTCATCCTCGACGGCCGGAGAAATCAGTGCAAAGGTCAACATTCGTGGCCGAAAGTTCGCGAAAAATGAGCAGTGCGACAATTCGGAACTGTTTTTTTTTCACTGTGGCTTTAAGCATATTGTCTCGGAGATGGATGTGGATATGGTGATTGTAAATGAAAATGACGGCGAGAATGTGGAGCTGAAACAAGTTGAAAATTACGAGTACTTCTTGTCAATCGACAACGAACTTCAACTCTATGATGGAAATGAAGAATGCGATGCTGCCATTGTTGCTCGAATAGCAGCGAAACACACGACAGCAACAGAAGACCATGGAAGTGATGAAGAGAACCCTAACGTGTTGGTGCCAGTCACAAAACAGGATGCAAGGAAATGCATTGAAACATTGCACCGCTATTTCATGCAGGAAGGAAATGAAGGTAGTCTTATTACTGCGTTACATGTTTGTGGTGATCTTGTGCGAATGCAGTCTGTTAAAATAATGCGTCAAACCACACTGGATATAGGACTGTATATATATGCAGTGTTGGAAACTACAGTCAGTTTCGGGCGGTTCTGAAGCCAATTAGATAGATGTGCGTCAAGGTTGCCACAGTTCAGTTTATCCAAAGGTCAACTCGGATTACCGTAACTGAATGATACGCTTTCTTGCCCGACATATGAACTGTGGGTTTAATCGAGACATCCAGGCACAGAACTTGATTTTAACACCTCTGTTACCTGCCACCTTCTATCGTCTGGTCCGATTAAGCGGAATTCCGGTCCTAATAAGCGGCTAAAATTAGGCAACCGTAATAGGATTCGTTTCGGTTCTTCAGAATTTGGCCCGAATAAGCGGCTGGTCCTATTAGCCGGTGGTGCTATTAACCGGAACCGAGTATATATATATATATATATATATATATATATATATATATATATATATATATATATATATATATATATATATATATATATATATATATATATATATTGAACGCAGCTAACAGTACAATTGTCAGGGTGGCGCAATGTTTGAACAAACATATTTATACCACCATATTAAGGAAATATATAGGGTGGAAAATATAAAACCTAAGTCATTGGGGGCTGAGTGTCAACGTTTTCGCCACTTCTCACGCTTTTCTGACATGTCCGATAGGGTTTCTAGCCTAGTGTTTTTGGTGTTTGGACCCCCGATCGGGGAGTCAAGAACGCCCGGCCGCATCCAAATATAAAGTCATCGTCTTCATATTTTTGCCCCAAGTCATTCGCTGACCACCTTGTCTTCGCTTCCAGCCGACTTTTGTGCGCGCAGAGTGCACAGTGAGGCGGACGCTCAGTAGGCATGAGATTCACGTGCGCAAGTCACCGAAACCTATGCAGTGAAATTATATGGCTCAGCGGCCGGTGATATCTGTCCGAGTTGAAAATCCTTCGGCGAATATTCTCATTACTAATGTGTTGTCGCCACCGTAAACTGAAGGCAGCAGTGATCAAAGCTAGACAGCCTCTGAACCTCCTTTGCGCGAATATGCCAAGTTTCGCAACCGTAGAGCAAGACCGTTGTCACAGTGGCATTGTAGACTCTCCCCTTCAAGGATGGACTCAGGTTGCGGCGACTCCAGAGATGGCAGAGATTAGCAAACGCAAATCGGGCCTTAGAGAAGCGCAAGGAGACTTCATCCGTTAAACCGTTAGTGCTGATGCAACTTCCGAGATAAACAAAATTTGTCTACCACTTACAAAGCTTTACCTGAAAGGGTAAGGGTTTTAGCAGATCCTGGTCAGTCCTGTACTGGGACGCAAACACCACCAACCTGCACAGCACATTTTGGGCGGTCTGTGAAGAGTCGCAAATTACAGCGATGTCATCTGCATACTCCAAATCGCGAAGTCGCTCCCCTGGAAGCAGTTTAACGTTGCTGGGTCCGCAATACTCCAGAGCGCTCTCCAGGATGTCATCAATAGCGAAATCGAACAGGAAGGGTGATGCAGGGTAGCCCTGTATCACGCCACTGGTGATACTAAAGGGCGGCGAAAATTCCTCGTAAACCCTCACTCGCCCCGAGAAGGAGGCTGACGTACTTCTCAGGCACTCCTCTTTTTAAGAGACAGCTCCAGAGAGCAGCTCGCTCCACTGAGTCAAACGCGGTTCGTATGTCTAAGGAGGCAACCATCCTTGGCCGGCCGAATGTTTGACGACGCTCGAGTATTTGACGGAATGTACAGATGTGATCGATACAACTCCGGCCGGAACAGAACCCAGCTTGCTCTTCGCGTATGTTTCGTCCGCGTACCAGGCTGAGACTCCTTAAATGTTGGGCGGCGAGCATTTTAGCGGCAACGCAGATGAGACTAATCCCTCTGTGGTTAGCGCGGTCCTTCCCAACACTTTTTGAAGACGGGCACGATATCTGTGAGACTTTTATCGGACGGGATTGCTTCGGTGGTCCAAACCTTTTGGAGAGGTAACTTAGCTCCCGAACAAGTGAGGGACCTCCATTTTTGGAAAGAGCCGGAGGGAGTTTTTCCGGGCCAGGTGCTTTGTAGCACTTTAGGAGGCAAAGCTCATGAGCAACCTCAGTCTCAGAAGGTGGCGAAACGTGTATACACCAGGGAGCAATACATATTCCCGAATGAGGGATCACCGGTGCTGCAGGGCAGTTGAACTGCTGCTCAAAGTGCTCAGCCCAACGCACAAGTCGACGTTGTTGGCAGTGGATTCGCTCGCCATTGGTTTCGCACAAAACTTCGCTTACAGTCGGCCTTTTGCCACCAGTGGATCGGATCAGGTGGAAAAGCTTTCGGAAATTCCCTGAGCTGGCTGCCTGCTGCATATCAACGACCCGTTGTGTCCACCAGGCCTCGCGGCCCTCCCTGAAGATGTGTTTGAGTTCAGCGTTAGTGGTCCTGTGTAGTGAATGAGACTCAACACCATCTGAAATTGCCGGACGAGCTTCGAGAAGTTGGAGGGATCGTGCAGAGATCCAGTGGTTGACAGGACTACTGATGAAACCACAGACCAGGGTCGTAGAGTTGTGCATGGCGCTGCGGATGTGTGCCCAGTGCTTTTCAATGTCAAAGCGTGAGGCGATCTTGAGATTTGAAGTTAACCTGTCTTGAAACGCGCTGAGAACGCTTGGGGCAGAAAGTTTGGCTACCTCAAACCGTGTCCGGCGACGCCGTTGGGAGCCGCCAAAACGTAAAGCAATTTTGGCACACACGAGCGCGTTGCCCGAAGTGAGGTATGTACTCCAGATTGATTTACTGTCTGACTAGGTTTAAATGTGATCAATTTCTACCGATACTATTCAACCCCCCCCTTACTACTACTCCCGTGTATCTTATTTGTTTGTGATTGAATTTGGTCGACCAGTTATCCCATGTGCAGCGATAGATGCTTAGAACACTGATCGATCCAATTTGTTATACCTCAGGACGAGGAGCAAGCACTAGGTTTGAGCTACACAGATGGCAGAACTAACGCGACTGTAAGTGCGTGAGCAACACATAGCTTCACAGTTTGGTATCCCCATAGAATCCATCGGCTTTCTTTTTAAATTTCCTGCGTTTACAACAACTATTCGCATCGTTGCTTGATCGTATTCAGAAAAACTCTTTTGGAACTCACACTCATAACCTGACCATTGGTGAAACGTTATTGCCTTGGAAACTGCTGACTGACGCCTATAATTTGTAGACGACTGCTCATGTAAAGTCACGGCATCTGATCACCTTATTTTTCTGTTGGGAAAATTGGTTTCGGGGAGCATAGTTGGCCTTCTCTGGAATGACAGAAACATCCATCGACCGGCGTCTTTGCTCGTGGTAGGTAACATTGCTTGTATCAGCGATTGCTGGCGCTTCAGTGCACAGTCTACTTCGCTGGCCTCTGCCATGCTGCGTTTTTTTACCGGTATCGTTTTGATGCCTCTTATTCTCTTCTATATTTTTCGTCCCCTACGCCAAAAGGCGATTGCAGTTGGCATTCGTTCCTCAGTGAACACTCCTCCGGAATTAATCGATTGGATTGCGAAACTCAAAATGGAATTGGAGCCTCTCGCTCTTCCAATCGCACTGGACGCAGCACTTCATCCACCGTCCACGGCTTCCAGTAATAGTCCCGTGTCCGTGCAATCAGTTCCTACGAAGTCGCAGACATCTGTGAGTGGATCATTTTCTCATTCGGTCCATACGCATCATAGGTACAATTACGACATCCTCTGATTTGTTGTTCACATCTGTAGCCCGTTTATGTTGCCAGATATCTTCAGCACGAATCACTCGCGAATGAAGGGTGTCAATTTTGCGGATTTCTATTTGTTCAGTCCTTGTATCCTCTTCTACTCAGCCTACAGTCGTTCACGGCGCATCTTACTTTAATTGTGTGTGTTTGGAGCCAACTTTGTGTTTTTTTTGCAATACCCATACCATTTTCATTTCAAGCGGAACATTTTGCAAACCGAACATTAGGGTAGCCTGAACATAGTCCATTTGCGGTACTCCTCATTCCTTGCTAACAGTTTGCTGATTTTCTGATTAAACAGTGTCCAGTTTAGAAACATTATTGTGTTGCTCATCCCAACACTGGCACCCCAAGACCGCGGTTTCGTCCTGGTTGAGACTCATCAGTTGGAGATAGCCTGAGTTGGGCTGGAACTCAGAGCCTAGTGTTCCAGCCCTAGAGTTCCAGCCCAACTCAGGCTATCTCCAACTGATGAGTCTCAACCAGGACGAAACCGCGGTCTTGGGGTGCCAGTGTTGGGATGAGCAACACTATAATGTTTCCTTTTTACTTACGGTCTTTGTGATCGGAATGGCTGAGGTCCACCTCAAGTGAACCGAGGTCTCAATAGAGGTTGCTTATAGCAACCTAACCACCAGCGGATTCTCCAAGTCCAACTTTGAGTGTCCAGTTTGGTTTGTAAAACGCCGTTTAAAATTAAAATTGCGTATTTCCATTGGTCACAACTCCGGGCAGAGTTGACTCTACTGCTTGGCATAACGTCATTGCTCGCTCGTTTGCACTTGCATGTGTATTAGGTAGGAATTCGTCTGTATCCATTCCTAGATAAACTGTCGTTAAGTCGAACTATTTTATGACATTCTGTGAGTCACGAACGTGTCAACCTCAAAACCCAAACGCTGGACTCAAAACAAAAGTCAAAAAACGTTGAAGAACATTCACTTCTTAGAAGGCTAGACGAAGTGCACAGGGTACGATTCCATTGGCTTATAAACTTCTACCAATTGACCCTCTAGCAGCCAATGTGGCGCAGGTGTTATTGTTTGATCTAGAGAAACGATCATGAAACAAGCCAATCGGCCTCGAGCTAGGTAGCTGGACGTTGGGCTTAACCGATTTCTTTAGGACCTGCATCTTCTAACATCTGCTCTTTTTGAATGAATCGCATAGTTTTTCAGCTTGGGATTCACCTGAATCGGAAGCACGGACTTCCGGTGTCAATCCGTCCATTTTCTCGGTGCTGACTCCAGTATACACTCGAGTCCGCTTTATTGCCCACCATCGGGATATTTCAAAAGTGGGCACTAAAGTGGGTTTGGCTATTAGCCGATATTGCCACTTTTTTCCAGAAGGGAAATAACCATCAAATTATTGTACAGTATATCACTCGAATTGTAACATGCTAAGAAGTATAAAATACTTACTTAAAACTAAAGCCTATAAATGACATATATCTTGCAGAGCATGAAGTATAGTTTAACGATTCTTACAACGAATCTCACCTAGATAGCTATAGAAATTCGCGCTACCGTATATTTCTGCTGAGGAAGCAATGCAACCTGTCTTCAACCTGTCTTCAACTTTTTATGACTGCTTAGTTACATCGAGCACAGAAATCTTGGCGCTGACATCCACCGCCGACGATGAGCCAGATAACACGTTTTCGATGTGATAAAGAGTTCGGTCCACAATTACTTTTGTGTAACGGATTTTCAGATTCATAACCACACCTTGCTTCGTGAGCTGGAGCATGCTAGTCAAGTTTGCCGGTAAAAATCCCATTTGCATGCTTTTCTAGCCTTCTACCTGTGGATGCGCTGTGCAATTATCCAAGAGCAACCTAATTTTCTGCTCAGCTCTTTGTCCCATTCGAAGACCCACTCTCATCATCCACTCATTTTTGTTAGCTCTGTACTATACGGGAAGTGTGTCCACTTTCACGCCACTAAAACACTCTAGGTTTCTTAGGTTTTCGAATCACAACCAGCTTTGTTTCATCCGTGCTTGACATATTCACGCAGAACGGGAGAGTGATTCTATCCATGGCTATTTCCGATCCGCTGGGCTTGTCGGCAGCAAAACACAAAGAACATTCTGGAGTTGCTCGGTAAAAAAGACCTGTTTCGTCTGCATTGTGCACGTTGTCATCATAAAATGCGTTTAAAAGTTCTGGCAGCCGATCTTTCAGCTAATTTTCACGGACTGCTCTGTCCGCGGTATTCTTTTCGCCCTGCGCATGTTTACACACAATTTGCTTTCTATTCTTCCATCTTTGCAACCGCCCTTCTGTGGTAGCAACACAGGTTTTTCCAAGTCCTTCCCCGAATTCTTCTGCCTTTTTCTTCAGAAGCGGACCTGTAACTGTTTGGTTGTGCTCACGAACTGAGGTCATCCAGTGTTTCAATGCAGTTTCAACTTCTTCATCCTTTCCACATTGCTTCCTTTTCTGAGAGCTTGCAGTGCGGTGCGACAAATTCTGCCGCCGTACCTTTTCGCTAGCAACCAACCTAGCAAGGGTACGACGAGAAATGTGTAGATCACGCGACAAATTAGCCTGTGAGGTTTATGGTGGATAAATTTTAAGTTGGTCCAAAACGTCAACTTTTCCGTAAAGGACAACTTTTCTCTTAATGGCCATACTTGTACTGACAAATCTGGAGCGAAATGATTTTCCGACCTTTCTCAGTTCTCGAGTTTCTAATAGATCCGAAGGCTTGTCCACATCCGTCTGTTCATTTAGCTTGATCGTGTATTCTGATCTGTCAACAACGTCGACGACATCTTCGTTGTTCTTTACTCGGTCATACTGGTTAGCTGTGGGGTAATCGTAATAGTAGAGCGAGGGCGTAATACTGACAAAGCGACAAGAGCACAGCCCACGCAGCTGGGCAATTAAGCAGTGGGACAACTCGGCCAATAGGCAAGTAGACGGTGAAAATTTAGCATATTTAAGAGAAAGGAATTTGTATTTGAAAAATTGGGCAATAATGTGGGGTGGGCTACAAACCGAGTGGACAATAAAGCGTGTTCGACTGTAGATGTATGACGTGGAGTCTCCTGTTCGGGCTCGGACTCTTCTGTGCTGATCGAATTTGGGATCTTCTCAACTGTGTGAGATACGGCCCAAATAAACTGGTCCGATTATAAAATACAAAGAAGATGCAAACTGATTTTACCAAGTTGCGATACAAAAATCAATTGGGTTCCACTTCCATTGATTCTTGCGCCATTGATTTCGTTTCGAAATTCGTCGGAATTCACAACGGTTGCAATTGTCCTGTGATATGTTTAAGCGGATGGTTGTGAGTAGAAAGTAAATTAGCAATGTTTAAGGAGAATGTAGTTGCGAAAATTCATAACCGCTATATAACGGTAAATGTAAAATCGCGGTGGCGTCCTACTTTACATAAAGTCTTCGTTGTGTGGGAGACTAGTGAGCGTCTATCAAAGCGCTGATGGTCTATGTGAGCAGTTATGGTGTTCGATACACCTCAGACGCTGCGAGTTGCACGTGGGCGTGGTATATCGCAGCCCACTGTGCCGCAGTTTGGACTGGTTGCCGCATGTCCGCAACCACATGAGTCGTCCGATGTTCCTACTCATGGGCGATTTCAACTTGCCCCGAATACAGTGGCCTGAAGCTGAACTTCTCCCCGGCCACTGTGAAGTCGAGAGGAAGTTTACGGAATTGATATTTGAAACCGCGGCCACACATCACATCAACCAACCGACACGCATTACAGCGCGCGCGACTCCACCATGCTTAGACCTGCTGTTGACTAGCTGTGAGCAGCGTGTACATAACATTCAAGTCTTAGAGCCTCTGGGAGCGAGTGACCACTCAGTGATCATAGGCAGTTTAGAACTACCGCTACCGTATCCTCTCTCACTAGAGTCAACCTTCAACTATTGGAAGGTGGACTTTAATGGCCTCATTCGAGCAGCGAGCCAGATAGACTGGTCTTTACCACAGGATTCATCTATTGAAACCTGTTGGGCTATCATTAAAGAGGGAGTGAAATCGTTGTGCGCCCGATTTGTGCCCCTCAAATTTCGGAAAGTTGGGCCAGTCAAACCACATTGGTTTGACAAAGAGTACAACAAAATGGCCCGACGGCGACGTAGACTATGGAACAAATTCGTGTTATCTGGCTCTGATGAGGATTACAATGCCTACAAGGTACAACGAAATCGCTGCAACAACGCGAAAACAAGCAAACGCAGAAGCTTCGAAGAGGAGCTTGCAACTGCCGCAAAAACTGCTCCCAAGAGGATCTTCTCATATGTGAAGCGGCGCCTAAGGCCTATAGCTAATATCCCAGTGTTAGAAGGCTCCGATGGACAGCCCCTAATCTCGAGTACAGATCGTGCGTCCGCATTGGCGGCGCACTTCGCCTCCGTATTTGCAAGTGACCAGGTGTCTGTAACCAGTTCCACGTGTACCGCTCCAGCCGAACTTAACAGCTTGGACTGCAATATTGAGGATGTACGCAAGCTTCTAACAAATCTGGACGGGACGAAGCCTGCTGGGTCAGATGGTATACACCCACTGATCCTCAAGTCCCTATCGGCCATCCTCGTGCCTTCTGTAACTGAACTGTTTAACATGTCACTATCCACTGGTCTGTTACCAGACGACTGGAAATGCTCAGTCGTAAAGCCCATACCGAAAGGTGGTAACCCAAGTAAAGTGGATAACTACCGAACGATCTGCCTGACTGCGGTTTTGGCAAAGACGCTCGAGAAGATTGTGAAGAAGAACCTGCTGCTTCTCGAGTCGAAAAACCTGTTGACCTCCGCACAGCATGATTTCATGTAAGGTCGCTCGTGCATCACCAACCTAATGTTGACGAGGCACGAATGGTTACAAGCGATGAACCAAGGCCGTTCGGTCGATGTCATTTACATTGACTTCAGTAAGGCTTTTGACAAAGTTAACCATGCAGTGCTCCTTGACAGGCTGAGGATGTGCGGTGTTGGT